AATTATCAAATTATATTCTAATATAACTACAAATTTTCAAATGAAAGGAGAACATATAATATTAACAATGTATTATAACTTATAGAAACAAATCCAATGTCAATAGAATTCATGAATTTGATTTTCATAAATTGTCGATGAGAATCATAATCTTGACTGTAGTTATATGTATATCGTTCACAAAGTTCCAGATACGCAATGATCCAGACTTTTAATCTTATAAACCGAATATTCGATAGCGTTTTAAATATCTTAACTAGAAAGTTCGAACGATATATATGACTTAATTAATACAATTATTCGAAAATTTCTTCTTCAGTCACATAGTTCACTCTCCAAATAATATAACTAATTGAGACCTCTTCTGTAAATATAAGTACTTATGAAGAAAATATGCAATGCATTTAGATTAATTAGTACCATACAAAGAAAGAGAATATAAAAACTGGAAATAAAAAAGTAAGATATACTATTTTGCTGGATCCAAAAAATGACTGAAATTATGCTTTGTTCAAAGGGAGACGCTTTCCATTTAGTTGAAATTTTTTGGTTGATATCTTAGAGAATCTGTCTGTCGAATGGCAAAATGCCTTAGCCTAATTATCTTTGATGTATTGCATTGAACGCAAATCATTGTTTTAAAGATAAAATATGATAAAAATAAAAGCAAGAAAAATATCAAGCAATTAGTTGCATATCAAGAAGAAAATTGAAACAAGCAGAAGGTTATTAAAATAGAATAATTATCTTTGTTTTTAATAAAATAAATTCATTTGTTCATTTATTACTTTGAAATATGATTAATATAAATGTACTTTTTATCGACCAAAAAGAAGAGTTAGTCCAAGAATTATAATGATAAAAGTAGTTTTCTTAACTAGACTATTACTGCCACTAGAAGGTGTAACAACGATTGGGTCATTTGCTTTTACATAAAAAGTGATATCATGCTTTGATGTTAAATTATACGTTTTATCACGTGCTTCAATACTCAAGTAATGTTCACCTTTAATAGCTATCCATAGAAATATACTTGTATTCCGATCAAATGTAGCATTTGTAGGTAGATGCAATTCAAACAATTCGACAATATGAGATGGGTATTCACTTGTTGCAGATATACTTAAATTCATTTGCTGACCATGTGTCAAATTCATACTAAGAGGAAGCGATGACTTGAATAAAGGTGGATTTCTTTGATTTTTTCGAATTTCTAAAAGTTCATTACCAGCTCTCAGTGATTCTTTAGCAAAATTAATATCATTAGTCATATATAAATCATAGTAACATGTTCGTTGAGCTAGATTCAATGATGAAGCTGAAGAAGTCGCATTTATATTGCAATTAGTACGAATTGTCAAATTATTTGTTGTTGTTGTCGGATCAATAAATGATGGAATAAATTCACGATTTCTTTCGTAGAAGAACTCAGAAGTTTGATCTGATTCATAATATAATAATGAAGAGAATGGATCAATAGCCCAAGTAACACCAAAATCTTTATGAATTTGTTCAATTGAAGCATTACTTCTTATAATACTTCCATTTCTACTTCGTAAATCATTATCTGTTCTTCCATCATAAGTACCTAATAGTCCGTATGTTTTTTCACGAAAAATTCCAGCTATTGAAGCACCTATATTAAGTACTAATTGTTTTGATGGTGATATCATTTCGATCACATTTATTTCAATAGTTACACCAATAGTCCATGAAAGAAAAAAATGTCTATTATTATTACCATCAAGTCGACTAATAGTAATTTCAGGAAAGAAAATTGTATTCATATTATCATCGAATTCTAGCTGTTCATTTCCACGATGTAAAACAAGACGTTCACGACGTGAAATAGTCACTTTTACTGTTTCACTTTCGATATTATTAGATCGAGCAGCAAAGCCTTTTGTAACGGTAGCATTACTTGATGATATTGGAACAGTTCGAATTTGTGACATAAATATATAAGATTGACTACTAACATTGAAAGCAGCTGATCGCGAAGTACTATTACTAATGGCTAGATAAATGTATTCTCCATAACCATTGAAAGTATACGGCGTTCCATCGAGTGTTCCGAAATGTGGATCTCCCCACATTCGACCACTGTCACCCATTGTATTACTACCTCTTCGTGATGGTCGATAATACATATATCGATTACATGCTTCATTACTTGTATTCATCATACAACATTGTAAGTAAGGTAAAGTATCATGAAAAAAATGTTGAACAGGTGATATTATTTGATGATAACGATCATCAGTACCTGCACCTGTACCACGTGTAATTAACATGTGATTATTATCATAACAACATTCTGCTCCAGCATGGTGGTTATTTGAATATTTGGAAATATAACATTCGATAGCTGATGGTTCATCATGTTCAGGACGAGCTTTATGAAGCCAACAATTATTCGAATTTGAATTACCATTATAGCATTGTCGATCGAGTTCATAACAACAACGACCAGCTGCTATTGCTTGCCAACGTGTCATTGGACATTGAAGAAGAACATCACCATTCCATGTTGATGGGTCAGGTTGTCGTGCGGCCCAATTCTGACATAACTCGAGAGCCAATGATGAAGGACTTCTAACGATCAATAAACCTGTATTTAATCCAACGTATATTTGAGCATTAAAGTGTGCAATTACTCGAATATAGCATGTCGAAATATTAGAAATACTTGAAGGTAATTGAACACGAACCGAATTAGTAAGAATCCCATTTCGTACAAGTATTATAGGTGTATTATCCTTTTGTAATTGTGAGCGAACGTTGAGACTTACTTTCCATAATTCGATATCGATTTTTGTACCATTAGGAAATGTATTTCTCATTACTTCAGAAAAATACCATGTTAATCTAACATACTGTCCGGCACTAAGTAAGTTGTAATCGTTGCCTTCTGTTTGAATAATTACTTCATCAGAATTGAATTGTACTGGAGCATATGTAAAAGTACCGGCTGAAACGAATGTCGTTCCATTATCAATCGATATATTCACTGGTACTGATCCATGCACAGATGTAAATGGTGTAAGACAACTAGCTCGAAATTCATCAATAATAAAACCATCGATAGGTTGTAATGAAGAACTAAATTGACATTTGACTTTTGTTTGATTTGTAAAACATGGACCATAAATATTGAGAGCTGTAGAGCCAAGTTGTGAACTAATACGAGGGCGGAAAGAAATTATTGTTACATTTGTATTACAACCACCTGCATTGACCTCGTCGGCATCGATACGAAAAACAAATAATCCAGGTACATTAACATTACTCTCATTAACTAATTTCACGATGTGTTCTTTGCCTGAATATGGAAGTATTTGAGATTTATTTTGATTGCCATTGTGGATTCCTGCTTCAGCATAATTATACGGCATATTGTAAGGATTAGACCATTGAAGATCATGATAAAGAAAAAAGACAAAACTACGATCTTCATCTGTACATAATATTATTTGAAAGGTATTATTCAATGTATTAGTAGCATTATGGTTAATACCAATGTAATACCAAGTGCTTGTAATAACCATTTTTGGTTTGAATGGACGTTGTTGAGGAAAGAATTTTCGAACATAATCACTTGCTTTATTAAATGCTGTCACTGTAAAATTTGATATCGATATGTTACTATGAATTTGATAGTAAACTCCATTTTCAGTATCGTTGTCTTGATTCCAAATATATGCATGCCAAAATCCAGCCACAAGACAACTATCATTCAACGAAGTAAGTGGTCTTGGTGAATAATAATTGATTGGTGGACGAAAAGAGAATAAACCATTGCTATTTATCCAAATTTGATTATAATTATTGTCAAAACAAGGAAATACATATGGTAGATCCAAAGGACCGATATTTATGTTGTCTGGAGAAATTATTGAATCATCTTTTTCAGATCCAAATGGAAAGAAATCACTTAAAGGTAAAGTATTGGATGATGACACAAGAAATATAACGAAGAAAAATGTATGTAACATTTTATTTTTCGTTTATCACAATAATACAGGCAGTGTATATAATCAAATCGCTATTTTATAATGTCAGACCAAGAGAATGTTTTTTTTTATAAATCTACGTAAAACTAACTAGATCATATTTCCAAATACAAAAAAAAAAGAATATCTAGTATGCAATTTCTCAGATGTATGATAAACTAATCCATACGGTAAACAGAAATAAAAGAATCCAAAACTAAATATTCAATTTTGTCACGAATGTAATTTAATCTATTTATTAATTTCAAATATTTTTTTGTTGTTATCTAAGATTATTCATTATAGAATTTGACAATAGATCATACAGAACTTTAGAATCTTAGAAGAAAAAGAGCATAGTTTTCTTATTCATCGATTTTAGATAAATAGAACTGTTTGAAAATGATAGTGTGTGAAAGAAGAAATCTCTCCTCAACGTCGTTCTCATTGTTGTTTTCGACATTTTTACTTTCGGACGAAAGTATAATATACCGAATTTATTTATTCATATTTTCAATGTAGACTGGTTTTTCTTGTTAATTTTCAATATGAACGAAGAATTTGACACATGCCCACCAAAAATATGCTGTAAACTTTGCACATTAGTAACTCAATGTTTTATATTTCATCTTGTATTGCAGTTAAACCTGTCGTGTACTGTGTCGTACCATAGCACAACAGAGATGTACACCGCACGGGCGGGAAGTCTGCCCTTTAACAGCATGACTGTTCTATTTTTGGTGTCACATCGCGGAAGTTTTTAGGATTCAACCATCCACAGACTCGTTCTTTATTAGATATCATTTGTTTTATTATCTTATTTGGATACTCATTTGTTGAATTTCTAAATTAAATCGTAATGAATGTTGATTAAAAATTATCGTGTTAACAAATCAACCCCACTCAAAACTACATGAATTATACTGTGCCAAGCATGATACTTGAATTCGTCTTAAATATAAAGTTATGCAAATTTAATTACAAAATAGCCGAGGATTGAAACAAATGCTCTATAAGTATATACGTATATGTGGTTATATCTTGCATAATTAAATGTTTTCTCGTAATATTTTCAGTTTTATATTATTGTTTATGGTCGAGTGTTCGGATATGAAACACGAATTTTTCAGAATATTAAAGTGCCACAAATATACGAAAAACAATCTCCATCTACCATTAGGTGCGATCTCTGGTCGTAACGTCGCTTCAAAACTTATTCAGTAAGGAAGGCACGGATGTTCGCGCCGCTTGCCAAAAAACTTTCAGATAGTGGCCACCATCCTCCGCGCCCAACCTACACCGCGTTTTGTAGACGTAACCCACGTCTTTATAGCACTCTATTTACTTTAGTATAGCCAAGTATACGTTATTCATTTTTTAAGGACGTTGACAACCCTAAAATTGAAGAGGAAGAATTCTCAGACTGCATACAGATTGTATGATGGTGATCAATCGAAGCACAAATTTTTATTCAAGTTCCTATTCAAATGTATTTGCAGAAAGCACATTCAATCATATGAAACAAGTATGGACACCAAGCCGAAATTCTACGATAAATGATACAGTTGCTGCTACATTGAAAATTTCATTAAACAGTAAAATTCAATGTGACGATTTCAAAACATTTGCACAGTGTCAATCAGAAATGATCAAATATGTGAGAAGCAAACAAAACTGTAGTCATATAAAAAGAATTGCGCCAGCCGATTTAAACAATTAGCATTCGCTTTAATAGGACATTTTTGTCTTGATTTGTGAACAGGATAGCATTATTGTGAACTGATCCTTTCATAAATAAATGAAAGCTATACACCATTTCTTGTACAAAGAAAAATGACAAGAGAACTTGTCTGACTATCGAATATAGTTTTTCAGTTATATTTGTAATTGTATATCATTGATTTTTAAAATAATTATGTATTCCACAGGTGTACCTCATATGTACGTCATTCCAATCGTTTGTAGTTGATATCCGTGGGTTTCGTTGTTATATGATACAATATAACTCCTACAGTTTATCTGATATTGAAGAGATCATATTTCTTTTTCAATATTTTATTGCAGCGTCTTAATTCGTTCGATAGTCAGTCATGTAGATAGTTTCTGAATATGGTCCTATAGGTGTTATTTTTAATGCATGTCAATTCAACTGGATACCTATTATCATTCATGCATCACATTTAGTCACAACTTTATTATTACAGTTATGAAAAATGATTCGGTAACATTGGCAACTGATATCTCTACTAATAAAACATAACGTAATATTCAGATCAATATGTCTGAATGACTAGAATGATTGAATTCATTTTGAATGAAACCTCCAGTATTATAGTATAACGTGAACTTTATCATCTTAGTGAAGTCATCATGAGCATGTAATAAGCGTTCAGTGAAAAAGAAATTTTACATTAGAATTTTGTCTAAACTTTCACTAGACGTTAAGAATAAGGGCTAAATCTATGAGATATTTTTGTATGTATCTCGTGAATTGCATAGCATAATGGGATAATATGAAATAATTATTCTCACTATAGATATGAAATATTGTGCGTGAGTTTTGAACATATTGAAAAATAGAAAACGCTGTGTTTTTGTTATGGTCTGGCTCGAAATTCGTTCAAGTAGATTCCAGTCAAGTAAACAAGTAAAATTATTTATCGGTAGATGAACTTCAAATTAAAGAATGTTTCTTTGCAAATCTAGTACGAATATAGGTCAAAAATATATGCGTTGACTGATGTGGGTTTTTCGTGATATTTTGACTTTTATCTGTGGTATTATTTCATAGTTAGAAATCAATAGTTCATGAACAATTGAACTGACTTTCTTCCGTAGAAACAAGGCTCTTTATGCCATACAAAAAAAAAACTAAAATGTCAGAGGCTCTAATGAAAAGCAAGTCAAATCTAATTTTGCTATTCAAAACTGCGAAGAACATCTCGAACGATGAACTACAAAGTATTCTTGTTCATGACTATTGTATCGATAGTTGGAATAATTTGTTCAACATCATTAGTGCTATTTAAAAGATATTATTAAAAAGTTGATAAATTCTCATCAAATTGAACAAATTATGAATAGAATTAAAATAGAAAACATCCATCGCGTCTCTAATGAAAAAAAAAATCGAGTTATGCTTTTCGTATCAAATGTTTTATTATTACGTAATCAATGTAAGTTATTATCTATTTGATCGTCTATGGCGATAACATTCGTCAAAGCAATGAATCAAAATGAGACAAAGAGAAAAAAAACTAAAAAGAATTATTTGAATAAATGTTTTTGGATCAGGTTGTGTCCATCGAAGTTCCATATGATTTAAACGATTATAATAACATGTTATATTGATTGGTTTAAAAAGAGGTTTTCTCAAAAAAATCATTGAATTTTTATTAAGATTTTTTAAATCAATTGGAGAAAACCAACTCGGTAATTGATCAAAAAATGTAAATAGATTATTTCCATAATTAATTCCATAATATGTTGTTGTACATAATTTCTTTACTTTTGTATTATTTTGTCTAATTGAACAATGTATATTTGTAGTTAATGTTTGATTTATTTGACAAGTTGTTTCTATAAAAATTTTTGAATGTTCTTTTGCTGTTAAATAATATTGCCAAGAAATCAGTACAATCAGAAAATGAAAAAATAATATAGTAGTTTGAAATTGAAATGAAATATAGAAACAACCTCTATCGTCTCTCATTTGAAATTTTTATATGTCGAATCTTTTCTTTTTGTTTTACGACACTTATCAGAAGCAAATAAACTTATATCATTTTTTTTTCTTTACTTTGTATTAAAGACTAATCTTTGTTTTCTATGATAGATATAACGGGTGTCTCAGGGAAAATGAGCCTCTCAGTATTTCAATGATACCTCCCTTAATATTCGTATGTTCAGACTTAGTTTTTTTTTGAAAATATCCGTCTTGAGATGCTCTACAAAACGGTGTCTTTTTTATTTATGTAAATAACATCCATTATTTTTTAATACATGCTTTAAACGAACAGTTCAAGATGAATAAGTTTGCAAAACAACATCTTGTCGAATTTTTTTGACTGCACATTTCAATTCTTCAATAAGTGTCTTTCGATGTCATATTATTCCAATTGATAAATTGTATAAATTCATCCCAAATAGAATAATCCAATGATCTTTATCTATGAATGATGAAAAGTTGTCTATGCAACATTTTTGTGTTAGATGATGGACGTGAGATTTCACACCGTCTTATTGAAATGTCCAATGTTCTTCAAAGATCTTTTTATCATATTTTAGTGCTAGTGAAAGAACATTTTGGATATATTCAATATGGTCTACTGTGCCTTGGTAACTTTTGTTTCATTTTAATGTCACCTCTTTCATTTGCTTTAGTACGACTAGTCGCTCAAATGTGCTGTTTATGGGAATTGTATATGTCGTCGATATCGAACAATTTTTCATTTGAAAGTAAACTTCTCATTGTATCTTCTTTTTGAAAATTATGGAAGATCCAGTTTACGAATTTTTTTCGTCTAGCTTTATGTTTGCCGATGAGTTTTGGTTCGATTATCTTTTTGTAGGCATAGAATTCCAGAGCCTCCTTCAGTATTCAATGAGCACTTGATTTGGATATGGCGTATTCTTTAGTCAAACTTTGAACGGCGTTGGTGAAGTTAGCAGCCGATTCGCCCAGAAACCTGTTCCAAGCGTTCCAATACTTGTTCCAAGTACAACTCGATGAACTCTATCCAATGACATGCTCAGATTTTTGATAGACCATAGTATGTTCTTTTGGGCTGATAAATGACGCTAGTGAGAATCTGAAAATCATACTATGGCCTATCGAAAATCTGAGCATATCATTGGATAGAGCTCATAGAGTTGTACTTGGAACAAGCATTGGAACGCTAGGAACAGGTTTCTGAGTAGATTGTCGGTGGAAATACTCGAATCGGCTGCTGATTTCACCTATGTTTCGCACAGATACCATCTTCTTTTGATCGAGTTTGTCCTTGACTTTTTGGATCCTTTTACTGATTTGTGCAAGGTGTTAATACCTGGACACAATCGGTGTCACGGATCATCTTGCACCACTTTTTTTTAATAGTATTTAATTCCAAGCACCTATTTAAATTATGAAAGATCTTAGTTGGACCATCATCATTTTCGTACTTACAAAAAAAAACTACTTTTCAAAGATCTTTACTTTTCATGTTATAAAAAAGACAAGGCGTTTGAATGAAATACGAAATATAGATTCTTGTAGAGAATAACAAGGTGAATTTTTTTACAAAAACAAAAAATTAAGTCCTAACGAATAAGAATTGATCAAGATGTCAGCAAAAGACGAAGAGGCCCATTTTCCATGAGATACCCGTGATATATATAAAAAGAACTCAATGGATACGTAATAATCTGAGAAAGCAAAATATAAGACGGAAAAGAAAAAAAACACCCACTCTAGTCGACATCAACACCATAGACATAATGTAAATTATTGATAACGAATAGAAAAATAATATATTTGGATATAAGTAGATATCACTGTCGTATATCTGTTAACCATGTTGAAAGGTTTCAACATTATTAGCTATATTATTTTATTTGAACAATGTATTTTAACATTAAGCTTTTTATTCTCTGGTAACAAACAATTAATACTTGTTCCATCAGTTGCTTTTCGTTATCATTCAAATGATATTGAACCAACGACTAATGCTCATCCTTCGGATGATTGGATTCTTTATGCTCAAGGTTAGTTTTATTTTAAACAAAATATGGCTTGCAAAAAACAACAAATGTTTATTTTAGGTTGGTTTTTTGAAGAAAATCGATTTCGTGCAAAATTAGCAAGAACAGCACTATCTACAGTCGTTAGTAATATAGATAGAAAACGTGTTTCTCATTTTACAGGAAGTGGACTAAAATATAAAACTTTATGTATGGATGGTTTAACATATGAAATGTGTATTAAAACTGATGGAGATGGTTTAGTTAAAAAACAATTTCAATTATCAAATAATAATGTTCAAAATTTTCGTGTTTCCGGTGGAACATATGGCAAAGTTGAATATTTTCTATCAACAATTGATAAAACTATTCAAAGGAAAGGAGAAATTTTTTTATGTGATGATAATGGAATATCAATTATCAGCGATATTGTAAGTTTTATATGAATACATATTTTCAAATCTAAAAATCATAGATAGATATGATGGAATTGGTTTTATAAAACATAATTTAAAAAGAGTATTGAAGCATAGTTTGAATTCATAGATTGTATATTAATTACGTATCGTTATAATATACAAACTAATTAAAATTATTACACTTGAAAGTATTTTAGTAGTTCTGAGAGAAAACTCTCTTATTTATCTAGAAGTTGAGAGTTAACCTTGCGCTTAAAATACTATAAGAATAGACTACCACATGCGACATTGTCTATGTTTTAACATGGCCATTTATATTTTAAGTAGTTCTCAAAGTTCTAAATTTCGAACGATGGTTGCGAAACTTATCTAGAGTGGAAAAATTTACTAGTAAAATCAATCAGTTTTTCTCATTTGAAGTTCTACGAGGGAAAAACGGAACATATCATGAGAGTCAATTCGTTAAGTTCTACAAACTTTTCAATACCACCAACAATACGCACTGTTTTTTTCTTATATCTACTCGAATTCCTATCATTATTATGAACTTTAGGTCATTTAATCCTTTCAGGCCCACCGTACTAAATATAGTACGGTTTTTTTCAAGCTTCTTAATCTTTGAATAACTCGCAAATACGAGATGATATCGAAGTGCGATTTTCTCTGTAACATAAAAGAGATTTCGGTATGTACATCGATACAAGAGTTATCACTCTAATGAGGTCACTCTGGTAGTAAGCCTGATGAATCTTTGGAACACCACTTCTATTCTAAAAAGAAGAAGGACGAATAATGCCCTTCTGCGGTCCATGAAAAACTTCGATTTTTCGTATTGAAATCAAGTTAGAAGTGGCTTCTAATGATATTGCAAAGATTGATTTGACGACAGCTGTCAATCAAATTTTGACCCATACCCATACTCCCCTACAGAGATGACCAAAATACTTCTTCACCGTCTCTATGGGGGAGTATGGGTATGAACCAAAAATGACTTTAAAGATTTTTTAAAAATTTTTGATGAAAATATCAGCAATGCATAATGCCCGTATAAAATATAAAGTCTTCAAGAAATTTCGTCCATTGATTTAGCTATGAGCCGAAAAGAGTTAACTATTTTTTTAATGTAACTTTATAAATAATTATTTTGACATATTCTTACGAAGAAAAAAAAACAAGACAGTCAATTACAAAATTCAAAATGAGTTATTATATGATCTAACACATTCATTTCCATAGTTGTTCAAGTTTTTGAAGAATCATAAGTGCATTAATGATTTGGTGGTTTCAAAATATGTCAAACAGAGGATTAAAATATAATAATCAAAGATCTACATGATCTGAAGTCCATAGTAACAATGGAAATTCAATTAAAAAATCGGTACATATTGTTAGTACCATCGAAAAAAGTCTAACTTTTGAATTATAGTCGAAGAGTTTTTACGAATAAAAACTTACTACGTAGTTTCCTATTTCAAATAGAAAAAAATATTTTTATTCAGCTTGATTAGTTGTGTATTATAACCATTTATTTAAATGATCGTGTCATTTGGAACAATCTGGATAATAAGGCAACATGAATAATTATCGCATTATATTCCTAGGATTAGTTAAAGACGATCTGACTGATTTTCAGTATCATTAAACTATGCATTCACATATAATCGATAAAGTTTGAATTTGTACACTTAACTCTCAGTAGTTTTGACGCAAACAAAGGTCATTTCATTATGAACTTTATTTTTCTTAACATTTATTCTCTAATACTTTCATTCAAAGTAAATCAGAATATCATTTTAATCGAACAGAAATTATACTATATAATCTTATCTTCAAATAATCATTAATTGTATTTTAATTTACAAATTATAATATTTGTTTTATCTTCTTAAGGATGATACAATTAAACTAACTGGCGTAACAAGTGTTCGTTCTATACTTCGAAATACATTTTCTGGTCAATATAAATCAATTCCAGGTATGTCTGAACGTTATCGTCATTATGAATTATATTATAATGCAACATTTCATTATTTAACTGCATCACCTGATCAATTATATCCATTTTTACATGAATTTATTCAACGTGAACAATTCCCATTAGGTTCTTATCATATGCGACATTTTACATGGTGTAATATAAATTTTTTTGAATTTTTTTCATCAAATTCATTTATAAAACAAAAAACAAAAATTTTACATATGTTTTTTCAAGAAACACGTTCAAGAAAATTTATTTTATTTGGAGATATATTTCAAAAAGATCCAGAAATTTATGCAAATATTTATCAACAATATCCAGAAAGAATTTTAAAAATTTTTATACGTGTATCAAGCAAAAATCTTTCAAATCGTTTAAATAGGGTTTTTCAACATATACCAAAATATAAATGGGATATATTTCTTAATGGTTTTGATTTACCAGAAAAAATTTTTTAAATAAAGTTTTTTTTTTCATGTTATGAAATGATTGAAAAATAAAAATAAAAATTAATAACTATAATCAATATTTTTACAGATTAGATTACTAATATTAACGACAGAAATGGAATTAATGATGATGATGATGATGATCGCGATTCGATCTGATAAAAGTTTTTGACTAATTGGTCGAAATTCGTCTTAGACGTGTGACAGTTTCAAATCAGGTAATTTAACTGGTTTCGATCATCCAATTCTTTTGACAAGAACTGAAATGCATGACCAGTTCATCTGAATAATCAAAAATTATTGACATGAAGTATACAAGTCAATTGGTTTATGTAACTATCTGAACATTTGATTGTATTGGAATATGCTCTAAAGAAGTGCTTCCTAATCGACATCATCTCATTTAAGTAGAAAGATGATCGAGTTATACGTTGGAGCACCGAAGATGAAACTGCTTACCAGTCAACTCACGAATTGATAATATCTCATATCGATAAAGAAAGATCATAGGTTCGAACTCTCCTATATTTTTATTACTAATGAAAATATTAAGTAAAATAACCTTCGATATAGCTGCATTGATAGTCTCTGCGAGCAAATATAACTATCGAATATAGTATAAGTATCACACACACCATTCGATCAAATTGTGAATTGATACTTTCATATGATCGATGTGTTCGAAGCCATCCTACTTCTTCTATTGATGTAAGGTTTCATAATGCTATAGATATTGAGGAATAAGTTACACCTATAAAGATGAAAGATTTTTTATAAAAACGAAATTATTTTCAAGTAATATAATCGATAATGTTTAAGCCATTGTATAACCACTTAGTATACATTTTTCTTACTATTTGTAGATGACAAATTTAATTTTGAATACATCAACTATCTTAATTTCGTTTAATTTTAAGACCATTTTGACTACTGAGAAATTCCAGTATTTGATATTTGGCTAGTTGACGTACAAGTTATTGCTGATATACAAATTAAGAGAATATTATTGATGATTTCATTAACAGAAATGTCGCTAATATTTTTAATAGTTTTAAGAATATTTTCTTAAACATATTATTCAATTCATAGATTCGATATACGTTGAACGACGTATCTCTCTCTAAAAGATTCAACAGTTTATAATTGATCTGTGATGAGATATTTGCAAAATGCCCAATGTTGCAATTATTTTAAGATATTCTAAAAAATTATATAAGAATCATACAGTATGGTTCTATTAGAAATACTGTTTTTGAGATTGGCATATGTATGAAATTGTACAAAATCTTATCAATGGATTGTTGGATATGGATTTAGCTACCAGAAAGATGACTTGAAATTTCATTAAAAGAAAAGTGAAACAAATCAGTTTGAAGCTGTAGTCACTGGCATCATTGTAAAGAACAAACAGTGTGCTTAATAATCCATCGGAATTATTTAATCTTAGATTTTTACATCGTTGAGCACTAAAATCCTGCACAAATATATGTAATTATGCAATGCTGCCACGGCAAAAAAAAAAACAAGCTACTGTTGTCGCGCTGCTGTTATGTTATTATGAAAACATCATCTACGTCGCTGCCGCACTGCATTGGTTGTTTGAAAAATCTACCGCTGCCATAGAATCGCATCATGGCTGAATAACATTTGAAGTTGATATTTTTAGTATCATTTAATTCCTTTTGTAGACAGAAAATTAAATTTTGTTTTTTTATTTATCAGTGAAACGACTATAAATAATAACACTTATTTTCTCTATTTATCCTTGATAATTTCTCACCCAATTTTCTATCAACCAGACGTACAAGTGATTCTTTTTTCGTTCTGTGTTTTGCCTCTCTTCGTTTCGCTTGTTGAAACAAATAAACCATATTCCTTCGAAGGTATAGAGAAAGAAGCTGTTCAAATGAAGACCCTGGCGTTTTTTTTCTTTCTTATTCTGTTGATCAAGTGCCCTCTATTATGATTGCATGTTGTGCCTGGCTAGTCATCCATAAGTAAGAAAAATATATATATATTTGCGGACAAAAAAAAAATAGTTGCCTGGATTTTTTTTTGCGTTCTATATTTTACCTCATTTGGTTTTGTTCATGCACCTAGATATTTCAGATTTTTTTCAGGAGTATGCATAATAAGCTGTTGAAATAAAAAATCTAGGGCTTTTTTTCTGATCTTTCTCATAGCACATCTGATATCAATTGTTTGCTGTCTCGAATGACTCACTTGAAGCTATAAAACAATGAATATCAGAGAAAAAGAGCGAAATGTTGTCAGTCAAGTGTATTCGATAGACGAAAGCTCATTTTCATTTCGTGGATTGTTCTTTCGTTGGTGATCGAATATATATTTATATTTTTTTTGACTATTGTATTAGTTAAATACTATCCAATAATGACATCCTTTCTATTAACTACTTTGGATGTCATTAATTCTTGGACATTAAGTATGTGGTTATCAATAATCGTCTGTAGTCTTATAGTTGCCTATATACATGAACAATTTGTTTATATGTCTAAACGTGGTACCCTTCCTGGACCAAAATTAACTGTTCCATTCATTGGTGGTATTATTCATATGATTCTAGCACCCTATGATTTTTGGCATGGTCAAATGGAATATGGTAAATTAAGTTGGAATACAATTATTGGCCGTTTTTTTGTTTTGATAGCTGATAGTGAAAATAGTCGAAAAATTTTTGAACAATGCTCATCTGAAATGCCATTAATATTACATCCAAATGCAACTCGTTTATTAGGAAATGATAATATTGCATTTATGAATGGTTCAATTCATAAAACACTACGTACAACATTATTACCTTTATTCACAACAAAAGCTCTTTCAATTTATTTACATTTACAAGAAAAAACTATCCGAGAACATATGATTAAATGGTGTGAAATAAGTAAAAATTCGAAAAATGGTATAGAAATGCGACCATTAATTTATGATTTAAATATAAATACAAGTTTATCAGTCTTTGTTGGTTCTTATATAACAGATGAAATTCGTGAACAATTCAAAAAAGATTATATAAATTTAACTCGTGCAATGTTTTCATCACCTATTTATTTTCCAGGAACACAACTTTATAAAGGTGTTCGTGCTGCTGAATCTATTCGTCGATCTTTACAATCTATTGTTACCAAAAGTAAACAAAGAATGTCTATAGAAGGAGAAGAACCTACATGTTTAATAGATTTTTGGATAGTTTCAACACTTAAAGCGATAAATGAAGCTCAAAAAAATAATCAACCTAGACCTCTACATAGTACTGATGAAGAAATAGCTAAAATTGCATTAGATTTTATATTTGCTGCACAAGATGCATCAACTAGTTCATTAACATTTGCTATTCATGAACTTTGTAAACATCCTGATATATTTGAGAAAGTTCGTCAGGAACAAAAAATTCTTCGTTCTGATCCATTAGTTCCAATTACACCTGAATTATTAATACAAATGAAATACACATGGCAAGTAATGAAAGAACTTTTACGATTACGTCCACCAGCTACAATAGTTCTTCATATTGCAAAAAAACCAATAAAAATTTCAGAAGATTATACAGCACCAACTGGAACTATTGTTATTCCAAGTATTTGGAGTTCAAATCGTGTAGGTTTTTCTGATCCTGAAAAATTTGATCCCGAACGATTTAATTCTGAAAGAATGGAACAAACAAAATTTGATAGAAATTTTTTAACATTTGGTACTGGACCACATTCATGTCTTGGACAACGTTATGCTATGAATCATATTATGTTATTTATATCTCTTTTAATAGATATGGATTTTGAACGTGCTAATCGGCCTAATAAAGATAAAATTATGTATCTACCAACAATTTATCCGGCTGATGGATGTGTACTTAATTATATGAAACATCATCAATAAATAGAAAATTTAATATTTAGCGATTTTTTAATCTTTTATTTTCTTTTAGCTTCAATTTTTTTTCAATAAATAAATGACATACTTAAGATTAATGTTTGTTTGTAAAATACTTTATCTAAGTTTTTCTACTGATATATATATATATATATATATTTCATAACATTTGTGTGAAGATCAATTTGAGTAGAGAATGATTTTCATAGTTTGAATTTTGTATCAATATACCGATTCATACACTACTATTTAAGAACGTAGCCAATTTATGAATAAAAATTTCTCCGTGTGTGCAATTCATCGAAAATTATAATTTATTATTTTTTTCTTGAATCTAAAATTACTTCCAACTAGTAATTATTCAAAAAAAAAACAAAGCTATTTCAACATAATTCTACGCTCTAATTTAATATATAATATTTAACTTTGATAAACAATATTTTATACTAATAATTACTATCGACGCCAAAATATAATGCACCACGATATTTTTTAATTATCTCGAGAATGAAAACAGTTAGAAGTCTGCGATTTTCACCATTCGAAAGAGAAATATGGGAGAAATAAAACTCTCCTGAATTAGCCTGACAAAAGGATATGGTCAAGCTGGTCAGTTTTAGATGTAGATTTTGACCACAAGTTTTTAAGGTCAACCCTTCTAGTTTATCCCGTTCAAGAGCTATAAGCGTTCTACTGGAAGTCTGAAAATCGACTAACTGATCACTGACCGATCTGTAATGTATTGAGTATGGGGTAGTCAACTATGCTGAGTCAACCGATGATGTTTATCCGTACTTTCAAGGCGATTGAAAGTTGCTAGATTACGATTTTTGTAATTCATGTAGATTATTGCGACATTCAAATTATTTTTTTTCTATGCCCTTCAGTTTATATCAAAGATATTGATAAGATATGAGTTGAATCTTCTGTTTTATTCACAATCCATCAAAACATTTTTTTTTATCATGTGATAAGTTTTTTGAACTAAAAATTGCAGAAACTTTTTCGTTTTTTTTCTGTGAAACTTGCATGTAGTTATTTGTTAATAGAAATTCTAAACTATGTTTATTTTTAATAAGATTTCATACATATCTCGAGAAATCAACGATAATAAAGTCAGTCTAA